ATAATTTCCGGCTGGACTCTTGTTCCTGCTCCGTCACACAGGCAGGTGAGTGTCAGCTCTTCCCAGCTCCCGGTGCTGGCCATCCAATTATTCCCAGGGGAAGAGCTGTTGAAATGAATGGAGTTACTCCAAAGTTTAATTGTGCTTCTGAAACTGAAGTGATTTACCTGGGCAATTAAGCCGAGAAGGATTCAGCCCAGCTGTCTTTGCGTGGAAATCAAAGGCAAAAGTAGCCCTAGTACCCCAAATCCTTTTGTCCTAAGGATTTCTAGGAGCAGTGGCAGAGCGAGGGATGTAATGTTTGCGTCAGAAGGGTGGGTCGCCAGGAACAGAGTTTATAAACATTTTTACACACTGGAGATCTGCACTGAGATTCCTCCATCAAAGTGTGGGGTGGGACCCCACTCTCCCTGGTGGGAGCCCTGCAGCATCTTAGCAGCTCTTTTATCTTGAAATTGCCCTCAGCTCCTGCAAATGACTAAAACTGTTTTAAGCAGCCTCTTTGCATAAGGACTCTTGGCCTCAGGGAACCCCAGCTGGTATAAATCGACTTCAAAGGATTTACATCAGCAGCAGATACATCCTCCTGTCTTTATTCTCCCTGTAAAGCACCGGGAACACCTCTGATGCTGTACTCCAAAGAGGAACAGGAACAGGACTAACAACAGGACTATCGCCAGAGCCGGTGTGGGGTTGGAGAGGCCAAGAACTATGTGTGCGTCTGCATGGCTCTCCCTAACCTTCCTAGGAAAGGAAGAGAGTCTTCCCTTCCATAACGAACCAGAAAGGTGGGATTTTCCACACTCAAGCACCAGGAAGATTTCCCACATGTGGCTGGGTGCTGCCCAGGACTCCACCCCAAATTGCACATGGTGGCCCCAGAGCCAGCGTGCTCCCAGCATGCTTGGATTCCTAAATCTATCATAAACTAGGCCAAATTTTCTTCCTCTGCACAAAAATGAAGGCAAGCAAGCTTTGCCTGCAGAGCATTTGGTTAGGATGAGGTGAAGGACCAGCCGCCAAGCGGTTGAAGGAGCTGCCGTGCCCTCAGTGCCGACGCCACCACCCTCCCACGCGCCCGCAGAGGTCCCCAAGGTCATGTCCTTGCAGAGCCTTGCGCTGGGGCCAGCGCTCAGCCTCACGCTGCAGCTGAAGAAGTAAAAGCAAATAGTGCAACTGCTGGTGCAGAGAACGTGAGCAGCCAGGATGTGGTGTGGGAGCCAAGAGGGGAACTGTGAGTGAACTTTCCCAATGGTAATCAAGGAAATTACCGCACGCACGCAGGACTGGAAAGCTGGAAAGAAACTGTGATTCCCTCTACCAGAGAATACATGAAAAAGGGTCACTGCTGGTAATCAAAGAATGATTCAATTTCTGGGAGATTTAATTTGGTTCAGATGACTTCTGCAGTTACTTCAGAGCAAGCAAAACAGGAAAACTCCATGCGATGCGATGGCTTTTTCTCACACAACTCTCCAGATGGTTTTAGACCTCTGTGACTTGCTGGGAAGATCAGCTGTACCACCATGTGTATTTGGTTATGAAAAATTTCAGTTGGGGCTTCATCTTATTTATGTTATCTGCACTCTTTTCATCAGTTGAAGGTGTTAATTGCCTGGCCCTGTGATCGGAATTTGGGGTAGAGAGAAGGGAGCCCCAAGCCCGTTTCCTGATTTTGCATCTTTTTAAGGGAAAACCCCCTCCAGTCGGGGTGGGCATCCCCTCCCGTGTGCATCCTCGTGTGCACACACGTGTATTCTTACGTGTGCCTCAGTTCCCATCTGTACAGCAAGGTTATCAGTGCTTATTTCCTTCGTAAAAGGCACCGAGGTGATTATTAATTATGAAAATAACAGCACAGGTCCACATGTTGCTGATAGGCATTATCATAATTGCCGAGCTGAGGGCCATGCTGTGCTCATGCACGAGCTCTTTAAAGCAGCATCACTTCTGTTTGCTTAATGGCAGAGCAGTTGGTATTTTCTCATTGCTAGCGTGCAATCTGTTTGTTTTACCCTTTGCTGTCAAATCGATTTAACGAAGGGATCGTTACAGCGGTTTGCACATGACATCAGTCATTGATCTGTGCAGAGAGGCAGCAACGTGCTTTCTCCTGCAGGCGCCGCAGGCAAATGGCAAAACAGTTCAGAGGAAGCAGTGTCGCTCCAGAGCATCCTGACATCAAGGAAAGCTCAGGAAAAATCCCAAATACGCGCCGTGAGCAGTGAAGACATTGTGATTACCGAGCACGCCATCAGCATGCCTCGGTCCGTGCTGAACCTTGGTAGTTTTAAAAGGGTATCGTGTTATTAAGTAAATCCTGCTTAGGTGCCAGCATCATTCAGATGGTAAATGGCAATAAACTTTGCAAAGCATGTGGGTATTCTCATAGCACTGCGGGTGTCTCGGCCGGGTTTGGCACCCATAGTGCTTTCAGCAGTGCTGTAATATTGCCGTCTGCGTTTATAAAAGGTTGCTGATTAAAAGTCTGGAAAAGCGAGCAAGATGAAGGCTGTTGGAGGAGGCGAAGGGGACAGATTTCTGGTTAAAGATCAGATACGAGAATCCCAAGGTCTTTTATCTGCCCTCATCTCTGCTGCAGATGGCTTGGGTGACCTTGCAGAGGCCATTTAATTGCTTTGTGCCTCTGTGAAAAGGCAGCACCTACCCTGTGTACTTTATGAAGCCACTTGTGAGGTAAAGGTATTTTTTCAGATATTCCTCCACCACTTGGGATTATTTGTCTGAAAGGCGTGATTGTATAGAAAAGCCGACTGATTCAACATGGCTTAAAAGTTGTTTGTGTGGTCATCTGATTATGGTGTTTTCCTTGTAAAGATAAAGGTCTTGATCCAGAGAAATGTTTCAGCACATGCTTCACTGTAAGTCTGTGGGAGTGCTCACGTGTTGGTGGCTGGTGCTTGTGACTGGCGAAAGTACGTCACTGTGAGGAATGATAGGGTCAGAGCTCTCCTCTCCTCCTACAGGCTTTCTTTTACTTGTTTTTCATTCTTGCTGCCACTAAGGTTTCTCTTTGGAGTTTCAAAAAGACTTTTGTCCCTCTTGGTTGGCATGAGGTTTTAGCGGAGACCCTGTGAGCCAAAGCCCATGACCATGACCCAGCACTGTGGGATGCCCTCCTGGGCAGCCCGCATCCTTCACATCCCACCCTGCCTGTATCCCATGAGATGGCATCCTTCACATCCCACCCCATCCATATCCCGTGAGATGGCATCCTTCACATCCCACCCCATCCATATCCCATGAGATGGCATCCTTCACATCCCACCCCATCCATATCTCATGAGATGGCATCCTTCACATCCCACCCCATCCATATCCCGTGAGATGGCATCCTTCACATCCCACCCCTGCCCGTATCCCATGAGACGGTATTTACTGGTTGAGTAACCCGGAAAGTGAGGCCTCGCTGTGTGACATTCACACTGGCAGGGCAAGGCAGGTTGCTGCAAGAGAAGACAGCAGAGGTGATGGTGGCAGAGTCCAAGCAGATAGCACCCCAACTTTGGTCTGCGCAGATAGCCATGTGGTAAAAGGGAGGTGGCATCAGCTTTCCACCTCTGATAATCATGAATTTAAGGAGAGAAGAAGGTGGGTTCACAGCTTCATTTGCTCTATGGCTGACAGGCTGAGCCAGAGTCCCATCTGGATGGTGCTGAGCGGTGGCTGGAGCTATGCCTGGCCAGTGAGGCGGGATTTTCGTGGTGCTCGGTGCTGGTCTGGCAGCCTGGGCAAGCAGGGAGCTGCGGGCTGTGCCTGGGCTCTGCATGGGCAGTGTGCGGGCTCTGGGTCTCCCTGCCCGTCAGCTCTTGCAGCGGGGACCGGGGCCGTGATGCAGCACAGGCTGTCCCCCATGCCCTGCCTGTCCCGCAGCACGTGAGGAAGCCTCGTGACGTCATGCCAAGCGAGGCTGATCACATTGAATGAAGGCAATTGGAGAAAGGAAATAATTTTAGAGCAAAGATTGCACTTTTATTTTAGGAATCCTGGCCGCTGTCGTGTGGCGTATTGCAGCCAGCAATCACCAAGGACATCCTAAAAGCAGTCCTTTTAGGATGCATCCTTAAAGCAGTGTGAGTGCTGCACATCAGCGGTGATTCCTTGCTGTGATCTGTATCGCATACGCAGTACAGTGTGCTTTTCTTTTGATTTGATGCTAAAAGGACAGCTACAGCTTCCTAATAAAGTGATTGCATTTCAGTTTAAAATAAAAACTAAAGTAATGATTAAATCTTGCAAATGGGATTGTGAATATATTCTTGTAAGAAAGAATTTATTGATTGCAGACTGACATAATAGATTTAAGGTTATTATCAGTTTATACCTTTTACCTGGAAAATATTTCCAGTTTGTAAAGGTACAGTTTGCTACCTTGCTATGTTTTGCCCTTTACCATGTAGGGGGAAAAAATGATGATCACACTGAAAATGTGAAAAATTATGCTTTTAAAAACCTGCACATGAATACTTGCTTTGAAAATCCTCAGACTCTCTAATGAAGAGGATTAAACCAAAGCAGAAATGGAGAAAAGACTACTGCCTACTTTTGACTTATTTAAGTATGCACAGAGCTTCCTCCATTTTAATCTTCCTTATAAAAAGATGGCTGTGTTACTAAAGCTGGCAACCCCTCAGAAACCAGCATCATTTTTTTGTCGTACGGTTCAGCTGAGCAAGGCTAATGTGGAGTGGGGACCCCCTTCAGCCAACTAAGCAACCAGGACGATTCATAATTCATAAGTGCTTCCAGCCATCCAGCTGAATACATTTGGATTAGTTCTCGTTTCTTCGTGCAATCCCTGATTTCATTATTCTCTCCTGCGAGCAAATACACCCACATTCAGCCCTCTGCAAAGATGCTATGCCAAGCTTGGCTTTGTCTGGGATTAGCAACTGCCGGGCTTTGGGGATCTCTGCCTTTGATGAACGCTGATTTTTTTTATTGACCGGGGAAGGGGGGTGTCCGTGTGCCCGAGGAGCTCTCCTGTCTGACCGGCGATTTCTCCGTGAGGATTTGTGGACGGTGGCGTGGAGGTTTCCAAAATGCCTGAAGCAAACTATTTGTTATCTGTATCTTGGGGTTATATTAAGGTGGGTTTAAATCCTGAAGGCTTATAAACGACTGGTTTTTTGTGCTGTATTGCTTGGATAAAACCTCTATAAGGAAAACGTGCTTTTTAAATGGTTATTTATGTGTACTGTATGGCAAGAGCTAACCATATGTGTGTACTGTGCATGCGGCATACATGTATGTAATTTTTTTTTCTCCTTTGGGAATTCAGTGTTGCGGGATAAAATGATGCAGCAATGAAAATGTGTGATTAGAAAATGAGGAGGATCATAGAATGTAAATCTGGGTGAAGAAATGCTTGAATCCTACATTTTACTGTAATGATCCAAGCAGATCTTCAGATTTACGGCTTAGTTCTCCCCTGTTATGTTCTGAAGATCTGCAGTTGTCTTTTACTTGCATAATTCAAAATGGAGCAAACTTAGAAAATTCAGAACAAAAGAAGGCTATGGGATGTGGAATTTAAAATCAATACAAGAATTTGATCTTTCAGAGAGATTACCCAAAAGGTTGTCTTCTCATTTGTTACAGTAAAAACTAATATGTGTCTTTGGAGGAAATTCATTTTACAGTTTAGTGTACTGAAAAGAAATATCTAGTCATGATGATGCTGAACAGTATCTAAGTGAAACCATATGTCGCTGACACCATTGCAAATATCTCCAGAATTTTGCTTTTAACATCTTGTTTGTGGACTTGCTTGTGATAAAGCTTTATTAATTTGGAAAAGCATTCAGAAAAATGCCATGTTTGTGTGTGTGTTCTTCCCCTCCTAGTTCAAGAGGATGCTGACCCGGGAGCTGACACACCTTTCCGAGATGAGCCGCTCCGGCAACCAGGTGTCTGAATACATTTCCAACACTTTCCTGGGTAAGGCGTCGCATCCCAAGCTTTCGCGTGACTCAAAGATAACGATTAATGGCAGCCTAATACCCACCAGTCGATACTTGCACCCAGCTTTTCTTTGGGGCAGAGCATTATTTAAATGTTTTGATTTTTCACTTTTAAAATGGATATGGGGAAGAAAATAATACAGAGTTTGAATAAGTCTATCCACAAAAGAATTCCGTCTGCAAACCAAAAGATTTTTCTGTTCAGATTGAATTAAGCTATTGGTAGCTGCCTTATGCATGATTTGATTTTGTGTTGACCTTACGGAAAGGACAGTCACACAAGCCCAACTGCACACTCTCATCTGTGCAACTACTGCCTCATGCAGCCGCATGCAGAGAAAGGGTTCAGACAAGTAGGTTGAGCCCAGGCATTTCATTTATTATATATTTGCTCATTTTGCACCAGAAGTCAGAATAAACAGTAAAGAGAGTATTTTGCATGTCATTAGTTTTGCAGGAGCTCATAGGACTACTGGCATGAATTAATCCTCTGTGTTTACAAAGTATACTTGTTATGCAAAATATATTTTTCGGTGTTTTCAAGCAGCTTTCAAATTTGTGACCATTTGCATACAAACCGAAGCTTCGCACAGGACCTTCATATATATATCTCTGAGTCCAACAGCTTCAAACGCTGAGTGTATGTGGGATGCCGGAGCTCGTGGGGGACTCACGCCCTGCGGTTAAGATGGCCCAGAACGCATTCACTGTATGACACACAATTATTTCCATTAAGGGATTTTAAAGTGATTTCAATAGCCTGTTGCAACTGGAACTACCGCATGCATTTAGGACACATCACGTCATTAATAATCCATATAAGTCTGTAGCTGCTTTGTGGGAATCCATTGGCCCTGTCTTATCATTCAGCTTAATCACAACATCCAGAACATGAATTAATACAGGGAATAGAAGCAAGGCTGCCTAGCTGCCAGCCAGCAGGCCACTTCTTCAGCTGGAGAGCCTGGAGCGTACACAACGCGCTGGGGAGCATGACCACCATGGCATTTCCAGGGAGTTTGTTGTTCATCAGCTCTTGCCAGTAGGCATATGTCTCTGGAGCAGGATGTGCTGCAGCAGAAATACTCAATGTGGCTTGATACTGTGGACCTAATATAAAACTAATAAACCACACGTATACTCAAGTTAGTGGAGTCTGTATCTCAGCAGGGGCTAATTAGCTGAAGCCGCTGCTGGTGCTAACGGGGCTCTATTGTTCCCTGTAGTCAGGCTGGGTCAGGTAAATGCATTTCCCTTTGCAGGTCTTGACAGTGGTCTTGTTCATTCCTATTCTGCTTCTTCTCACATGTTCTGTAACGGTGACGTCCTCACCGTTTTGTGGCAGTATGAGGGCCACTCAACCACATAGGGCCCTGTTAATGCCAAGTGGTGCAGGGTCTCCAGAATGGGCCAGATTGTGACTTGATTGCTCACATTAAAAAGAAATGAGTAAAGCTTTTAAAAGGAGCTTAAAGCTTTTTTAGGAAGTCATGCTGTTACATTTGTATGAATTACTTTTTCCCTCCTAAAATTTGGTTTAAAATTAAATGAACGCACAAAATAACAGGAGTCTACAACGGAGGAACTTGAACAAACAAAAAAAAGAAATATGTGGATAGAACATTCATTTCTCTCCAGTGTGGGTTAGATGGGGATAACTTACAGATATTAGAACCAAATAACGTGACGCCATTCAGTCTCTTGACTTTACGAAATGAGCTGAGGAAGGCACCAAGAGGTGATGTCCTCCGCAAAGGGGCCAGTCCCACACTCGCTGTTTGGTCAGTGAGAGCAAGGACACCGGCTTTAGATCCGTATGAAGGACAAAGATGAAAAATGGTGGGTTTATCATTGGCCACATCATGTAGATGGGGAAGATCACGATGGCCTTTCAGCACAAGCCCTTTCCTAAGGGCAAGGGTGTTGCTGCTGCCACCACTGTGGGGACGTGATTTAACAAATTAGAGATTTGTTCAAGTATGTCCATGTTACGCTGCCTTAGCGTTAGTCATTGCTAAGGAGATTATATAGAGGAAAGTCCTTCTGTTGTTCAGCAAAGACACACAAGGGAAGCACCATTGATGTCAGCTTGACTGTTGTTGTGAATAATGGCTTCCTTCTTAATTGCAGTGTAGCAGACACACTGGTAGTTCTTATTTCAGAGATTTTTAATTAAGCCAAGGCAAAAGTAACTAACGTCTAGATGCTTAGTCCCTCCAGAGGTCCTCAGAGATGCAAAGGTGCAAAGAGATTATTGTAGCCTTTTCTAAAAGTTCATGAAAAATTGGTTAGTATGAAAGTAATGAGCCACTGTATCTCCATTTTAATGTGGCAAATAAATCAGTTGTAAAGGCAGTAAGTAGCATATGTGGATAGATTTATTTATTAAACGCATCTCCTCAGCCAGGTTTGTGCTCCACTAGGAGCCCACTTCATGTGCACTAATATTGTTACTATCTCTGAGCATGACAACAGAGATATGGCCTGTGCTTTGTATGTTATTTTATACATATTTGTAAAGGGCAAACCTTTAATAAATCAGTGACACCAGTTTGTTATTGGGTTGGTGTTTTAAGAGCAAGGGGTATGGAGATGGGTTTGGCCCTCATAAATATCAATGGACAGAATGTGAAATTATATGCTTATGTACTTTATTGGGGAAAAATGTGTTGTTTGAATATATATTTTAATTTCCTGAACATAGGTAATAAAAATTAATTCAGATCTAGCCATAAGCAGAACCTGGTGCCCTTCAGGCATGCAGAGCTAGCTCCTGGACATGCGCTGTGTCCCCAAGCGATGCAGCTTGAAAATGGCTACGATGAAAGCAGCCTGGCACTTCATGTCCCAGCAGGGCTCCCTGGGAAGGTTCAGTCTTGCAGAGGGCAAACAGGGGTTATGTGACTGCTTTGCTTTGATATTGGTGCAGTTCGGTCCCAAAATCAGAGAAGCCTTTCCCCAGCAGAAACACCTGGGTTTGAACTGGGTTTGAGCAGAGCCACTTAATCAGCAAAGCTAAGGGTTGATGTTGAGGGGTGTGATGGGTGCTCACACTGCGAACGATGTTGACTCATTGCACCTTTATCTGTTACAGACAAGCAGAATGATGTGGAGATTCCTTCTCCCACCCAGAAAGACAGAGAGAAGAAGAAAAAACAGCAGCTCATGACACAGATCAGTGGAGTGAAAAAATTAATGCATAGTTCAAGCTTAAATAACACCAGCATTTCACGATTTGGTGTGAAAACAGAAAAGGAAGACCATCTGGCCAAGGTACGACAGATTCTTGCAGTTCTGGGAGAATCGGTATTATCTGGAAGCCAGGGATGGACTGCCCCCACCTTGTCAAACTGGAATCGGTATCCCTGAGGTGGTGTGGCCATTACAAATGCTGTAATTAACGGTACCAGGCCCTAGCAGCATATTTTATGTTCATAAATTCTTTGCAAATATCCCTAAAATAATAAAAAAAATGTGATGAAGGCTGAGGAGAGCAGTTATCAAACACAGGAATGTATAACAACGCTGTGTCCAGCAAACTGGCTGGGGGGCCTTTGTCTCTGTCAGGGGATTTCTTCTTGCTACCTGGAAACACACATCACAAGTAATTCCCCTGCCACGCTTTGTACAAGTGCTTTGGCATCAGCCCTTCACAGTTACTCTGTGTTCGTGTACTTTATTAGGGACGCATGTTCATGCACTTACATAATTACCATAATGGAGATTGAATTTGCATCTTTTTAAACTTTTGGAAAATGCAGAAGACGTGATGCAAGTGATAAATGCAGAATTGTCTTGGAAAATATTGTAACCGTTCTCTTTTTGTCCTTTCAAAAGGAACTGGAAGATCTGAATAAGTGGGGTCTCAACATATTCAACGTTGCAAGGTACTCCCACAACAGGCCGCTCACCTGCATTATGTACGCTATATTTCAGGTTCGTGATTTTCTGATCAAATTTGATGTTCTTTTACAACACAATTTTAGTTTCTAATTGCTTTCTGTGTTGTTGCCTTCTACAGTATGACATCCTTATTTGATATATGCATGTATGCTTGTACCATTTATTATACAGGAGCGAGATCTACTAAAAACATTCAAGATCTCATCAGACACTTTTGTAACATACATGATGACGCTAGAAGACCACTACCACTCGGACGTAGCTTACCACAACAGCCTCCATGCTGCTGATGTTGCCCAGTCCACACATGTTCTGCTCTCCACCCCTGCGCTGGATGTGAGTTACCTAATTTGAGCTATGTGCTTTGCGTTGGGCAGTCCTCGTGCTTAAAGGTGGGATGGCGGCTTAAAAGCACATAGGAGAGAAACCTTAAGCTGAGTCTATCACCGGTAGAACTCAGACTTGCAAAAAGCAGCGTGGTGCCGGCTCTTTGGAGGGCTCAGTTTACTGCCAGGGAAATCACCATTAAGAAACCTCAGCAGCAGCTTTCCCTGTAATCTCTGTTCCATCATAAAGAGCACATGCTGCTTGTAGACCTTTCTTCTGAATAAATGTCTTGTCCTCAGAAAACTAATTGATAAAGCACTTTTATTTTTTTTCTCTAAAGCAGCCTCCCAGACTGTTGAGAGATAAAGCACAAGGACTTTTCTGACAAGTTTCTCTTTTCCTTCCTAGGCCGTCTTCACTGATTTGGAAATCCTTGCTGCAATTTTTGCAGCTGCAATTCACGATGTGGATCACCCCGGTGTCTCCAATCAATTTCTTATTAATACAAGTGAGTTCTGTTTCAAGTACAATAATAACTTCATCTGAAAACTTGGAAACTAATGGAAATGCATTTTCCATTATAACAAGGTCACAAATTAGGACTTTCGGACTGCATCGCTTTCTGAAAATATTGTGCAGTAAACTAGTTAGACATTTTGAAATAAAGCAGTAATTAAAATGAAATTCCTAACAAAGGAAGCTATTGTAGTACAATTTGCAAAGCGCCCTTGAATCTTGTGAATATTACTACTTGCTAACGCATAATAATTCTTCCAGTCCTGAGTGCAAATGTTATCATTAATATAAGATAAATAATGCTATTGCTATTGACAATGATAAAGCCAAATTTTGTGGTTCATACTGTGTTCTGCAACAGGCTAAGCATGTATCTTGATTCCAAAATATGGCTATTGTTCTTTTTTGGACAGTGTGTTTGCAGAATTCATGCTTTCTGTTGTCAGTGATTCTGAAGCTGGTAACTAAGTCAACCGAGTGCTATTTTGTTCGTTAGAACCGAGCAAAGGGCTGTTTATATTATACACATATGTGCTCAGATTAGAAAACCGCATGGTCTTGGCACACATGAAGCAAAAAAAGAAAACCTTTCCCAATTTATTGCATACAGATAAACATTGCAGTATGCAGGGCAAGCGTTCGCTGTTTGAAATGACACATTTCACATGCTGGAGTCACATATTTGTGTCGCTTTGCTAGATTCTGAACTAGCCCTGATGTACAATGACGAATCCGTCTTGGAGAACCACCATCTTGCTGTGGGTTTCAAACTACTTCAAGAGGAGCACTGTGACATCTTCCAGAACCTGACCAAGAAACAGCGTCAGACGCTCAGGAAGATGGTGATCGACATGGTATGGACTGTGCACACACTGCTGCTCTTCCTAAAGAAAAAACTGGTATGGTTGCCCGTACTGAGATCCTGTTTTCATTTCTGTAAAGGTATTGGCGACAGATATGTCCAAGCATATGAGTCTGTTAGCTGATCTGAAGACTATGGTGGAAACTAAGAAAGTGACCAGTTCAGGAGTCCTCCTTCTGGACAACTACACAGACAGAATACAGGTACGTCAGCCACGTTTCCTGGATTTTGTAGATTTTGTTCAGGATTGAAGAAACTGTGCTCCTGCTTTTGCTGTGGCTTTTAAATGGACCGTATATAGAAGCTACTGACCTAAATTTTCAGCAATCATTTTCTTCCGTTCTGCACCACAAAGAGGTACAAGGTGGTCCCATATCTTTTAGGTAAAGGGGATTATGTTTTTAACACTTAGGGCATGGAGCTGCAAACTTGCACGTTCCTCTGAAGGTAATCTATAAGGCTGAGTTTTTGAGGGCTCCTGAATTTCCTTGCTGCTTTCTCCCATTTGTTTCTCCTGTTAAAAAAGTATAGTGAGGTTGCTATAGCATTGCAAGATTACAAGAATTTGTAACTCCATACCTAAAGAACTCTCTCACTGAGCTGAAATTAGTGCTGTACAATCTGTTCCCTATATAATCTAATCCTTGATTCACAGAAATGACAAAGCAGTACTGGAACAGGGTTACGTAGTCAGTAGGACAAGATACATCCTGATCTTCCCTCCACTTTGATGGCCAATTTCTTAAGAACAGACTCATGGGAAAACTCTCGTGCATTTTTATTTAAGACTGCTGGTGTTAAAACAGGTCACTCTGTTGCTGTCTAAATCCTTGCGGCCACAGTTAGTCAGGCACATTTTTTGTGTGTGTGGAAGGGATATTACTCATTTAATAAAGTAGGAGCATTTAACCATCTGAGAGCATGGAAGTAAATTTTGAATGGTGGGAAGCACCTGCATTCAAAAACAAACCTGCATGATGTAATTAACATTGCCACAACTGCACCCCGTGTAAACAGCGAGTTTTCTGAAAAACGTATAGTACGTTTTACTTCTGAAGTGGACCATAGCAGCTAGGCTCATATACAGAGATGTTAATATTTTTATAGGCTGTTGCATAATCGAAGAGTCTTGTGGTTAAATGTTCTGAATTAAGCAAGCAGATACAGCTTGCAACCGTCCTCTTTTTCCATGTGATTTTATGAGTTTTCTGATTAATGTAATTGCAGGTTCTCCGAAATATGGTACATTGTGCGGACTTGAGTAATCCCACAAAGTCTCTGGAGCTGTACCGGCAGTGGACGGACAGGATCATGGAGGAGTTCTTCCAGCAGGGAGACAAAGAGCGAGAAAGAGGAATGGAAATCAGTCCAATGTGCGACAAACACACAGCGTCAGTGGAAAAATCACAGGTAATTGGCCATAAGCTGCATTTTTGTACTGCCTAAGCTTGTATTTTTAAAGCAGAGACAAAATTCATCTGCTTTCTCTAGCACAATTAGGCAAACAGCCAGCCGTTCAGAGGGTTGGTTCTGATTGACCCTGACATCCAGCTGCGCCTGAAGCTCATATAGAGTGGCGAGGCTGCTCAGACTCCTTTATGTACCCCTCGGCATCTCCTCGTTTCCAAATGCGTGTTCATCTTGCTGTGTTTGTGTCCCAGTTTCCAGAGTGAGTTGGTTTCCTTTTGCTTCCCAGGCTTGAAAAGTGCAATTCTGATCTCCCCTTCCTTCTGCCAGGTCTCTTCTGCCTTCGCACCCTCCAGGCTCCTTAATTAGCACCTCCTAAACCTACTGACATTGCACCCCATGTTAGACATTTATAGCAATGCCCCCCGCCCCCCGCATTGTGCTGCAGGATTAGGAGCTTCTCCCAGCTGAGATCTGCTTCGGGACACTGGAAAAGTCTGGATGTCAGTTGTTACTCAGCCTCGTGCGGAACAGTTTTCCAGTGCATGATCTGGCTAGTTAAGTTAGAGGTCTGATGGAGCTGCTGTGTGCCAGATGAAGTCAAAGAAATATTTATTTATGTCAATACAAACCTTAAAAGGAGCTGGAGATATCTCTTTTTTTTTTTTGAGATTAACTGGTTCATCCCTAGATTCATAGATTAAACAGTTTCAAGGTCAGATTTTGTTCTGACCTGTGTAGTGCAGGCTGTAAAATTTCACCCAGTTAGTCTGTAATGAAGCTGGTAATTTATGTTTGCCTAAACATATTCCAATCTTCATATAATGGTGTCTTGGTTGTTGTTTTGAAATGACTCGAGCAAGTCATCATCGAGGTTTTTCAGCTTGAATAAGTAACAAAATTGATGATAATTATTTCCAAATGTCCTCTTGGGCTAAGCCAAGTGGTTTCAAAATTATTCACTCAACCGCATGGTGATTTTGTTGGAAAAATCTGTCTTATTTGTTAACCTAACAAGAAGTGAATCCTTTGGCCAGGCTTGGCCAGAAAATGCCCATGTGCTCCACATGTGAGCTCCAATTATTTTTTTTTTTGTTTCACATATGCACTTCACAGAGGTTCAAAAATGGTATTTTTGCTATGCGAAAAGAACAGGAATTGAACGGAATGGCTGCCATTGAAATCCCAACTAGTAGCGAAGGAGAAAGGGAAGGGGCATGTCCGTTCTGGAGCGAAACAAGGAATTGATTGGAAAATAGTATGCAAGTATTTCAGTGCTCTCAATGTTACCTCTCTACATCAAAGTATTTTAAGATCAGTGCTCAGCCATCTGGCCAGCTGTTCCATGAAAGATGACCTTGTTAGGAAGTGACCGATCTCTAGCCATTGGTGCTGTGTAGCCCTTGAGCGTTTTGGGTGGCAGTGAAGCCATCGGCTAACCATGCAGAACTTTTTTTTCCACTTTAAAAGTGCTCCGGAACATGTGCTGCAGGAAATTTTCATCACCTTTTTGTTTAAGCTGCCTCAACAGTATGTTACAATTGAATGTTAATGGTTCTATTGACATCCTGTTGTGTCTGAAGGAGGCATGTGTGATTTCCAAAGCAAACATCTGCACGTTGAGTCTGGCCCCTCTGAGAGCCATTTTCCTGCTGCACTGAAATGTTGTCCAGCGGAGCGAGGAGAAAAGTGACACATTCTGCCAAGACGGAAGAATTTCAATCCTCTTTATGGCCATTCAGTTTTCTCCATCCTGGACGTACGTCCTCTTAGTCAGACAATTGAAAAATGATTTAGCTCAGAGCTTACGCGCCAACCGGCGGAAGGACTGATGGACTCAGCCGCAACCCTCACTGTTTCCACCGCTGGCACGTCACTCCATGGGAGTCGGGCAACAGCGGTCTGTCCGCCTTCTTGCGGGAGGAGTAATGCTTGGGATGAGCTGACCTGCTGTCCGTACTCTTTCCAAAACAAAATGAAAGGAAAGGAAATCTCTACCAGGGCTGGCTCCGCAGAGAAACACAGTGGCTGCTTTGGCAGAGTAGAGGAAAAATGCTGAAGTGTTCAAAGTTGCAGGACCACGAAACAGTTCAGAATAGGTACAAACTACGCACCGTAGTAAAATATATCTAAAGGTCAAACTTCAGTCCATAAAAGCAGTGACATTCGGTGTTAGGATGGCTGCTCGCCCTGGGAGCAGTGGCGTTGTCACAGCCACATGCATACCCTGGGGAAACGCCAGCGTTGCCACAAATGCAGCAGCCTTGTCCGCGGTCACCAGGGAATCCTATCCGAGACACAGCAAACTCAATGCTATGGGCAGAGGCAATGATCGTCTAAAACACCTCTCTGCACTTAGAGCTGGTGAAAGGCATCCGTCAGTGGGATGCGCTGTCTTCAAAGTGATGGCTTACCCCAACTTCTGCAGCGCAGGGACTGAGCTGCTAGTCGGGATGTTTAAAAAATCACGCCTGCTGCCAGGGATGAGATCGGCAGCTCTGTCGCTGAGTTTCCCTGTGGCTCCTGCTTTTAGTTAAACTTTCATCCGAGGTTTCATTTTTGGACAAGATATCAAGCCAGTCCGCCCCTGCAGGTGCAGCTTTGGGTATCAGATGATTATGTCTGCAAGTAGATTGTGCTGGTTTGGGGACTTTGGGTATTTTGCTTGTAAAAATGATGTATTAACAGCGTTTGAACATTTTAGACACCCATCTGCTCCTAGCCGTTCCCTTCTCCTAAGAGTGCCTGTTCCTGTGTTTCTCAGGTGGGATTCATAGACTACATCGTCCACCCGCTCTGGGAGACGTGGGCTGACCTGGTGCAGCCCGATGCCCAGGACATCCTGGACACGCTGGAGGACAACAGGAACTGGTACCAGAGCATGATACCTCAGAGCCCGTCTCCTCCGCTGGAGGAGCGGGGCAGGGACTGTCAGAGCCTGATGGAGAAGTTCCAGTTTGAACTGACGCTGGAGGAGGAGGATTCGGATGGACCGGAGAAGGACAGCGAGAGCATCGGCTACTTCAGCAATACAAAGACGCTGTGCGTGGCCGACGCGGGGGAAGAGGATTCACAGCGGGAGGCGAACATAGAAATCGTGACAGAAGATACGTCTCCTGTCGACACATAATGTCCTGTACCTGTGTGAGTGGATTTTCGACACTTAATGAGCATGCAAGCAGTCTGACGGACTAGCCTGCAGCCTGGGTCTGAGGCCTGTGTCTAACATTGGCTGAAAGATCTTCCCAGCTACTTGAGATTGGAGTCAGGGTTAAAGATCGTGTAGTGAATGATTGCTCAGGAAATTAACAGATGATTTACCTTGTGGTTTAAGCCTTGTCAGCTAAGAGCATCGTGTTGTCCTGGAGCTGGCTTGGGTCGTGACTGAAGAGTAAATGACACACAACTGAGAGATTTTATACTGTTAGTTTTGGAATTTATACCAGTTAGACTGATAGAAACTACTGATTAATAACTCTCCATATAAACCTGTCCACCTGACCACCTGTCTGCAGACCTGTGTGCCTTCTTTGTAAACACTTTCATGTCTTTTCAAGAGTCTATTAATTAAGTACATGGAGTTTAGTATAAAAAGCGACACAAAGTGTTTCAAAATTGACAGATACTTTTTTGATTCTTCCTGTTACAAGAAGCAGTCTTCCTTTTTTCATGGGCAATACCTGTCACTTTATTGCAGTTAATCACTTTTACAGGCTAAATAGAAGGGAAACCCTCTGTTTTGCATTACTGCACCTTTAATCGTCTTCTTAATACCCCAGGCGACCCGTTTAAAGTCACTTCATGCCATCGTGCACCATCTCTGTTCGCTTGCTAGGAATAACAGTGTTTTTTCCTCAAAGGGGTTTTATTTTTGTCGTGCGCAGGATAGAGGGTAGTTTGTTTCCATGGCACGGTGCAGTACATATATAAGTAAGCGTGATAAGGCGGCGTGTGATGCGTGTTCTCCCTTGGCAGCTCCTTGGCTCAGTGGAAGTTGCACGCTCGGGTATTTGTGTTTCTCTCGCCTATCGTTCACGTTTCCTAGGTTTAGGTCCACCGTCCTCCTCCTGCACTGCCTTGAGCTCTAACACCTCCATTACTGTTTATAACAGTGTATTTATTACGTAATGTATATACTGTAATGTTTTGTAAGTTATTAATTTATATGAATTAACATCGCCTGTCGGCGGCGGCGTTAATTGTGTAGAAAACTCGGAATAAGAGTTGCCTTTTTTTCTTGTAACCTTTTGTATTGCATAAAATCCAAGAACCTGAACATAGCTGAAGAGACAGACGCAACCCAGGAAGGGCATTTGGGTGGCAGCCGCCCGCGGGGGGGTTTGGCTTCACAGCGAGCCGGGGGGGGAACCGGACACCGGGGCAGCGGGCGAGCACGTGGAAGTGTTGGAAACCGAGAGGGGGGGAACCCCAAAAAAAAAAAAAAAAAAAAAAAAACCCCCCCCATGAACGGGCCGGCTTTTAAATGTCACGTTCCAATTTCTGAACAGCCCAATGTGACAAAATATGACAAAAATGTGAACTGATGTAATATGACAAAAATGTGAACTGATGTAATAATTGTGCTGTGAAACTTCTTCTGACAAAGCTTGTCCGGCATCGTGAGCGGTGTCAATCTCAGTTTGTAAAATATGTTTCAAGCTTTTGGTCCAACTTGTGACTAACTAGTTAATGAAAATAGCACAGTTGTGCATGATCAATGGGTTTGTATGTCTGTTGAACACTGCATTGTTCCAGGTGGTTATTTTATTGTTTCCAAAAGTTTCACACAATGTATGTTATAGTATTATATATTGTGTTCAGATGCATTCTTAAGAGATTTTTATATGAAGTGAATAAATGAAAGCATGACCCTGCCTGTGGCTCTTCGTGCCGATTTTTTTATCGGGTCGGCGTGGGCGGCATGTCAGCTGCAGGTGAAGGTGGCTGCGCTCGTGGTGCCGGGCTGGGACCTGGCCGGCACCACCGATGCGGCAAAACCGGACCCTCCCGTGGCCGAAAGCCAGCGGACAGGCAGAGCCCTTCTCTTAGGAACGGGAGGAGAAGGGGTTCTGCGGCCGGAGGCCATGGACGCCCTCTCCG